TCATCTCTCACCACTTCCTGTTGGTGCTTTGTCTTCTCTCCAGTACCAAGCAATGGAGGTGACTACGGCCCAGCCCTCCTCTGTGCTGTCATGGCTGGGAGCACTGGGATCCTCCACTGGGCACTCTCTAAGCTTGCAGTGGAAATACATCTTTATGGTAATGCGGGCACCAGGCAGCCACTCTGAATGGGAAGTGATGGCAGTTACTTTATCTAATAACAGCATGAAAGTGTAATGTGTCTTTATTGAGCTGCCGGATTGCTGGTGAGAGCTGAAGGAGATGCAGCCTCGAGTATAACATTTGCAGAGAGAAGCAGCATGAGATATTGCCACGAGCTCCCCAGTTAATAAGCAAGCAGAGGAAGGGAGAGCATACCAACTGCAGCAGGGTGAAGGAAAAAAATAAGAAAATGGAGGCAGCAACCTCCTTCCTTAGGCAGCAGATGAGCCCCAGGGAGAAATGAAGAATTCCCCTCTTGACCCAGAATCTAGAAAACTCATGTATGACTAATAGTAATGTAGGAAGGACATATTTGAAAGGAATAATAAAAAAAAAGACTCTTGTCATATTAGTGTCCTCAATGCCAGAGGGAAATGTCCATTTCTGTAGAGGGAAGGTTAATATGGAAGGCTCAGCTGTGCGGTGACCACAATCTGTGGGCAGCCGTGAGATGCAGGAGAGACTTCTGCCCTATGATGGATGGGGGTACATGTGGCCAGGTGTGAGTGCATCCCCTGCTCTTATATACAGCTCTGAGGGTGATGACTGCATGTGGCTGAGGGGAAAGAAATGTGAAGAACCACATCTTTGCAAAATTGGTTCCAGTTCACCAACTTCAGCTTCTTCCCTAGCTCAGTAGAATTACTGGTGGCATTTATTGTGTATATTTTAATTGACATGTTATTTAATTGCATTAAAGGCTGCTTCTGATACTTCTTGCCTGACAAAATGTGGCCTTTTGAGAAAATGAAAATTGTTGAGATGCTTAAGATCATATTCTGGCTAAGTCTTGTCAACCTGCTCTGGGTGTCCCTGCTTGAGCACAGGGATTAAACAGATGAGCTCCAAAGGTATCTTCCAACCTCAACCACACTGTGATTCCATGAAAAGATCCATGCAGTTCCAGTGTGATTACTGTTTATATCTTTGTACATCATCTAAATGGACTTTTGAAAACTTATTTGGTAAAATAATTAAGATTTTGGTGAACAACTTTTGATATTACTTCACTTTGGAAAGCCACCACCACCACCAAAACAAATCATTTTTTAAAAAAGAAATAATCTGGTTGATGTTCTCTTCCACTTCACTAAATAGATACTGGGGAAGGTGACAGGAGGGTACACCTCTCTGCTGCCCAGTTTGGGCAATTTGCAGAAAGGTTTGAAGCCACCCTCACTGCTTGCCAGCAGCTCTGCCTCCCACGTAGCTGTGTTGAAGGTGTGAAAACAAGAGGAGGTGTAGGAATGGGGCAAGAAGGATGGCAGTGGACATTTTGTGCCCATCACTAACACACCATGAGACTATGAGCCAGATGGGCCATTTTACTTCTGCACACATCAGCTAGGAGGAGTGGATCAGGCTCAGGAAGAGGTGATAAGGCTGCAGAGAAAATGCATAGAGAAGCTGCAACAGTGATCTGATCTGAGGCAAAAGGTGCTTTGCAAGGGAAACATTATCGGTCTGTTTGGTTTGCTGGGGGACAGTTCAAGTAAAGCTGTATCTTCACATGGAGGTCTGCAACATCAGAGGCCACGTCAGCCCGGAAAGAGAAAGCACTTTATAGAATGACTTTCTATACACAGAAGCCTATGCAGCAAAAATAATTCAAACTGAAAGTGTGTTGCAACATGTTAGTGGCAAAGATAAACAACCTTAGCACATCCTTCTTTGGGAACCTCGAACCCAGGTTGTTCAGAAAGAACGGGTATGCAGCAGTTAGCATGAAGGGACAAATGCTTTACTGAGAACAGATTGGAGGCCTACAACTCTCCTTCCAGCTTCAAAAATTACTGGCCCTGCTTTGCTGATATTATCCAATGCCCCAGTTGTGCTGCAGTAAATGCTGGTGGAATACCAGTAGAGTGGATGGCAGGTGCTGACCCTGGCTTATGTGCCATCCCAAAATTCTGTCTCTGGAATTCACTGCTGGGGACACAGTACTGAGCTGGAGGGGACACTGCCCTGAGCCAGCAGAACATCTTCTGCATTCTTACTTAAAATTTCAGGTGAATGTCAGAGGAAAATGTGAACTGGTAGTGCAAAAACCTCTCCTCAAAACCTACTGTGAGACCCAGGAGAGCAGACAGAGCTTCATACAGCAAGCTTACATCCAAAGGATGAAGAAAGCTGCCTGATGCACGAGCTGGCTCAGGGGGAATACATCCTCAAATGCCCCATTCATCCAAACCTGTAAGGAAGTCTGGACTGACACACTCAGATGTAGACACTTACAGGGTGAGGTGGCCTGTATGCTTTTCCTACAGCCTCTTGCCAGGCAGAAAACAGACTTGGCTAAAAGAGAGGAGGGATTTTTTGAGTGGCCAAATAGCATCCCTCAAAGGTAGGCCTGAGGGGGTAATTGGGGTCTTCCCATCCTCAGGGCGCCGTGTGGGCTACCCCTGGCGCCATGTGCACCAGCAAGTAGTCGTCCCAGATGTAGGGATGGGAAGAAGCTTGACTTTACTATTTGAAGGGAGCAAGATCTGCTTTTAGGAAGGTCATTTTCCAAAAGTGCCCAGCCAAAAAAACATTAGATTGAAGCCCAGGAGTTCCAATTCGTTGTTCAGTTTTGAGTGAACCAGTCCAGTGGCAATAATGAATATAGATAGAGAGTGCACCTTTTGCTTATTTAAGGCTTTGATGGCAGAGTCATCAAACTATAGAATCATGAAGACTGGAAATGACTACCAAGATCATCCAGTCCAATCATCAACCGTATCCCAACCATGCCCACTAACCACATTCCTCAGTGCCACATCTACGCAGCTCATGAACACCTTCACGGGTGGTGACTCCACCACCTCCCCATGCAGCCTATTCCACTGCCCAACCACTCTTTCAGAGAAGTTTTTCCTGACACCCACCCTGAGATTCCTTGCACCGATGCCTTGTATTGTGAGATTTGCCGGTTGGAAGCATTCGTGCAGCTACCGACTGCACACTGGCAGTAAATAAATAATAAATAGTTGGATGCCTGCCGTTACTTTGGGAACAGAGAAAAGGAGACATTTAAGCAAATCAATTCACTCTCTTGTCCTTAAGCCTGTCTGGAAATATTCTCCAAATCTCTTTCCACGCTGCAAAAATTATCTCCTCATCTACAAGTGAATGTGAGGAACTGAGAGATACATATTCCTCCCAGCTTTGATGTTTTCTGGGTGGGTTGTGTTGTCAGCTGTTCCAATGTTTGCAAAATTTCACTTATTTATCTATTTTTATGCACAGCTCTCTGCAGCCTGGCAGAGCCAGTATTGCAGTATTGATTCAGGAGCTCACAGCAGTGACCACCCGGTCCCAGACTGATGCAGATGCTGTACATGGACTGCTCCATCCCTCACCCCCAGAGCTGAATCGCTTTTAAAATGAGGCAAAAGAAGAAAGAAAAGCTACTTTCATCTGTTTTGAAGGGGGGAAGGATTACAAAGGCTAAACGAGCCATATGAGTACTTAGTGAGCAATCCTAAAGAGCACCCTGATAGGAAGTTCTGGCAGAGAGCTAATTAAATTAGCCCTCTTTGATTTATTAACAAGCAGAGCAGCACAACACACAAGATTGTCCCACAAAACGAACGTGCTTTCCTATTCCCTTGGCTGCTTCAGTGCATTTGCCTCCCAGATAACCGGGTGGTAGGAACTCTGTTTTGACGAGCCCCAGTGGCTCAGTAGATCTCCCTGCCCACCAGCACAGATACATGCCAGTAATGATACACAACAGCGTCTTATTATTATTTTTTTTCAATGCTTCCCTAATTCCTTCTTTTTTAATGCCTAACACAACCTAATGGCTAATTAGTAATTTCCTGCCCACCAATATGCGGATGAATGAGAAGCAAAAGCCTTCAGCATGTTTAATTATTCTGTTGATTTAGAAGCCACTTTTTCCCAGTGCAGTCCCTCCCCGTGCATGTGTTCCCATGCATCACACATTTCATTATTTTTAGGAGCACACTCTGTACCTTTATACGCTCTTGCAGCTCCAGCATCCCTCACCTACAGCGTTCTGCATCCAACCCAGACACGCTGCTGACTTTAAAAGGAGTTACCCCAAGTTACAGCAGACCCCATGCCTGCTGATGTCTGCTGGTTTTTATTTATTAGTTCATTTGTTTGCAGGGGTAGGGCGCATTATTTTTGCACTGGGGAAATGTCTCTCCTGTAAAGGAGCAGAATATAACATTAACAAAGCATCAGAGAGTGACAAAAACTGAAAGCAAAGCCCGCAACCGCACAGGCGTGAATCTATTTATATAGCGAGCGCTACTTGTGCTTCACCCTGAGAGGAGCTGTAACTCCCTCTGCATATGTGATTTTCCTCCCAGGCTGCACAATGAAGCCTGCTTCACCTATTCCTGCCACTTTCCTACAGTTTTGTTGGTGGGTTTCTCTCCTACCCGTTCCATTTATCTCCGGTATTAGGGCGCCCTTCGCTAAATGAAGCCAATTAATAAATGGAGACGTTAAGCAATCAATTGTGCCTGCCTATCTCCCCAGCCCTGCGTACTCCCGGCTGTAATCGCAAGATAAATGCGATGTGCTGATGTATGGTAATGTTCAATAATACATTCTCCGCCAGGCTCGATTCATCAGGGACTTTCTGGAGGGGAGGCATTCGTTATTGGCTGTCTCCGGACCTCAAGGATAACAGTTCTGTCCTTTCCATTGGCCGACCCACTGCTGCAAGCCTCTTCCCGTCTTATTTTGATGATGAATATGAAGGCATGCTGAGCCGTGCCGGAGCGCAGCGCTCGCCGACTGCACTCTCTCCCAGCCTCAAGGACTGCGGGGCTGCCTCGCTGCCTCTCCTGCCCGCCGCTGGCAGCAGCAACCCCCGAAGTTGGGATGCTTTTCTTCACCCAGTGCTTTGGGGCTGTCTTAGATCTCATTCACCTGCGGTTTCAACACTACAAAGCGAAGAGGGTTTTCTCAGCTGCCGGGCAGCTCGTCTGCGTCGTCAACCCAACGCACAGCCTGAAGGTGAGCCAAAGAGATTTGCTCTCTCCCCATTTCTCTACTCCTTTACCCCTTCCTCCCTGCTGCTGCCATTTCTCCCCGGGGAAGCATGATGATCCAACAGTGCGGGGAGAGCGTGGTTATCACCACGCAGCCCCAGCAGAGGGATGGATGCTCACAGTGCTGCAGGAGCACTTTGGGGATGAAGGAAGGAGAGCATCCCGCAGCCAGAGTAGCTGTAGGCAGCCACCGGTGCCCACATTGCCAAAGTTTCCCATTCATTCACGAGACAAGAAGGCATGCTGTGAGCATTTTGGGGGGGGAGATAAAAAGTTAGTTTGATGAATTAGCATGTTTTCTTTTAAAGGGTTCTGGTGTGGCTAGTGCTGCCAGTGTGTGACAGTGTGCTGCTGGTGTGTGACAATGTGATGCTAGGGAGCAGGGTGAGGGGGGCTCTCCCACAGCTCAGGGATCTCTGCCTGTTGTCCATGCTTTCTTTGGGGCAGAAAAAGCAGTTTTTGCCTTCCGAGGGGAGCCTGAAGGCATTCTTTGGGCACCGAAAGCCTCCTTCGCCCTCTGCAAGGTGAAGCTATTTTAAGGCTGGAGAATACATTTGCCGTAATGCAAAACTATTTATAGAGCCCATAAAACACTTCTCTTGTGAGCGTGGTTCTGGATTTACACTGACAAAGTGTCAACAGTTCCATCTACGCCAAAGCCCTGATGCTTTCACACAGAGCCACAGCAGTGGGTAAGGCGGTGGCTGGGCGGCTTCAGGGACTGCATGGCAGCAGCGAGGGACCACCTTTAGCACAGTGACTCCTGTCCTGCTGAAAGCCCCTCGCAGACCTGACCTGCAGAGCAGACTCAGCAGGGAATTGAATTCAGGACAACTCATCCAGGCTGGATGTGGCTCTGGGCAGCCTGGTCTGGTGGTTGGCGACCCTGCACATAGCAGGGGGGTTGAAACTAGATGATCTTCGAGGTCCTTTTCAACCCAGACCATTCTATGATTTTATGGTTCCAGTATGTCTGGCTCTGCTTTCCCATACCGAGAGGTCTGCTGGCAGGATGACCTCCTCCTTGGGGCAACATCCCCCTGAAGGGAATAGCAGCACTTCAAGAAAGCAGATTTCTGGAACTGTATTTGCAGTGTGGGGCAGGTAGAGGTATTTCCCAGCACAGCAGGAGCTTGGAGAGGGTTCTCCTGCAGGGCTGCCAGGGGATGTTTTGGGGACAGCTTGCCTCTCATGTCATCACATCCTCTGCCACTGCTGGCACTGCTCAAACATCCCACAGCCCTCTCCTTCTCTCAAAGGGATCTTTCCATGCAGATGGGCAAAGCACGCTGCTGGAAGAAACAGCTGCCTCTGTGAGTGCACAGGGACATTTGGTAAATGAGTGCTTCTCTTCCTGACCCCTTTTAAATGAGTGCCTCCCGCTACTTTTGTCTGCAATCTGAATTATGAAAAGAAAAAAAAAAAGCCCTTGGCATCCAATGGTTTTTGAAGGTCATGTTATAATGGCACAGTCTGAAGAGACACCCCACAGGCACACGGTCCACTTCCCTCCCCCGTGATAACTGGGACAGAACCTGATTTTGTCTGTTCACCTCCTCCCAAGCTGCAGATTCACTTCACTTGCCTTTAAAAGCGCCAGAAGAAAAGTTAGAATCACAGAATATCCTGCTTTGGAAAGGACCCCTAAGGATCACTGAGTTCAACCTGTGATGCTTCCGTTCCCCTCCATTAAACACGTGGGATATTTCAGCACATTAAAATTCCTCGTAGCCAATCTCCCCGTTGCTGGGACTCAGCCCAGCAGAGAGGTGAGTGACCTCAGTACAGCTTTGCTGGGCTGCAAAGCTCCCTCGGAAACAAACAGGAGCTTTTAGGAAAGGTGCAGTGTGCAAATGAAGCACAGTGATCAGGCTGAAATTTCATGTTCCCCCAAACATCCCCTTTGTGCCAGCAGGCAAACGGAATCAGCTGACACAAAACCACTGTGGATGGGGAAAAAAAAAGGTGGTACACCCCAAGCAGTCAGCTCATCTTCCCTCCTAGCATGCAGAAGGGTCACTTTCCATGGGCAGGGCACCTTGTCCAAAAGGTGCCAAAAACTGGGCAAAGAAACCTGCTTCTGCCCTGGGGCTGAACCTGTTCCTCTGCAGTGGATTGTGGTATTATGACTACTTGATGTTTTGGAGTCTATTACTTCCAGCTGGGTCACTGCATCTGTAACATTTTGCTGACAGCCTCCACATCTACCTTAACAATTGACAAGCGGAGTGAAAACTGTATTAAGGTTCACAGTTGATGAATACGAGCCTGCTAGGAAACAAGGGCCGGGAGCAAAGTCATTCCTTCAAAGCTTTAATGACTGTGCTTACCCCACAATTGTGAGCTCTTTGCAAAGGGATTATCTCCTTCTGTGTTTCTACAGCACTCTGGTGAGGGGACTGCTGGCTGATTTGTGCAAACGATGAACAGTGGGCATTGTGTTCTGCTGTGATTGTGCACCTTGACATTTCACACACAGCTCAGGTCCCCCGTCAGTGTGTATAACCCCACTGAGGCAGAACCCACAGAAGGCTCAAAGATGTGGTTGGCATCTCAACCCCCACTGATTGTGATGGCGCTTGGCCACCACAGTGTGCACCAGAGATTTGGCACCATGGATCTCAGCGGGAGGCAAAGGACAGGCATCCACCAGGGCCTGTCTTGCACAGCACTGCGGACACAGCACCCGTGTTCGGCCAGCTGCTGCATACGGCTCTGTTAAACACATCCTCTTCATTCCAAGAGTTATGAGCTTATGAAATTATAGAATGACTTTGGTTGGATCATCAAGTTCCAACCCTCCTGCCTTGGGAAGCGGTTTTAACTCTCCTGAGTGCTGGAAAGAAGTGTAACGTTCGTGTGAAAAACACTCTTCCCCATCTCTGTAAGACTTAAACAACTCATTAAATTGAGAGAAGACGCACATGTGAAGGACGGCATAAATAGTTTAATTTTACATTCAGCAAGGATCTCAGTGCTGTTTATTGGTCCAGTCTGCATTCTAGAATTATTTGATGTGAGAAGCATATCTGCACTGAGTGCATTTGAATCCTATTCTAATTGCTTGGTTCTGTGCACAGTGGCAGCCAAATGGCTTTGTAATCTATTTTATCCCCAGCAGGATTAAAATGCTATGGTACACAGTACCCCCATGAGATGTACTCTTAAACTCGGTGTAAGCAAGGATATGGGCATTGCAATGTGCAGCTCACAGCCTCTAGCCAGCCCACACCACCATCTCAGTGCAGGGCTGGAGTCTGGGGAAATCAAATGGTGTTTTCCCATCTGAAGCAACAGGATCTAACAGCCAGGGCAAGAGAGGCTTTGGTAGCCCCAGGGTGCCTGCAAACCTAGGGTCTTGTCCTGTGGTGGGGACAGGGAACATTGGACAACGTAAATTCCAAAATCCTTTTGTACAGAAGCAGCAAGTAGACAATGATGGGTACCAGGAGTTCTTCCATCCCATAACTCACTGATCTTGCAGACCCATACATGCACTCCACATGGTCCATAGCATAAGAGAGCAGAGTAGCATGGAAAAGCAGAGCAACTTCAAGCTCCATCATCAGAAATCACAGCAACCTCTGGGAGGATGGGAAGTGAGGGAAAAAGCCACTGCCCCTGAAGTTTCTATGCTAATATGCTCCTTGCCCAAATTGATGGGTGCTATAGCTCTGGTTAGAGGGATACAGGGACGAAGGGACATCAGTTTCCTTCCCTACATATGGATGGAGATTTTGGTTTGGGGCTGGAACTGCTGGTATGAATTTTAATACTGAACCCGACCTGACTGCAGGAAGCATCAGGTCAGTTGTCATCCACGGGAGACGGTGCAGTCATGGTAATGCTAGAGAAACCCCTCTCTCCCCCCTCCCCGTGGGGTGTTTGGCAGCAGGGATTAGGAGCAGCAATCAGACACATCACATTGTGCTCTAATCCTCCTGCTCTGAGCTGGCTCAGTATAGACATGCATATACATGAGCCATACACAACAGCCCTGACACCTCCCCCAGGAGCAATGCTGCCCCAAAGCTATTGCCATTGCAGACTCATGGGGTGCAGAAGAAATCAGGATGTTTTAATAAAAGCCTTGATTCTGTGAAATGAGTCGTGAGGTCTCAGCGTGCTTCCAAACAGATGTAAGTTACACCCAGAGATTTCCATCATTAGCACAAATCTGTGTGATTTGGCAGTAGTCTCTGGATAGAAGCCAAGCACTGAGCATGGTCCTGCAAGACCCAGACATTCAGAAGTCCAGGCTCAGGTCTTTGAGCATCACTAAACTCTTCAGAGCCAGAATTTGCAAATAGTACAGTTCTTGTTTAGAATGAAGGAAAGGAGCTGCTGCCTGTGCCCTGCCTTCCCAGGGCTTTGGCACTCCCTGCACATAGGGAATCCCTCATCTTGTCCTCCCTGGCTCAGAGCTGAGGCTTTAGGTAGCCCTGGCATCCCCATGCCCTCTTCTGTCAGCATCTCCTGGCTTGGTGTGGACCAGAGAAAATCGGTGAATCCCGCAGAAGTCTTTGCCCAGCTTTACTCAGGACTGAGCGAGGCAGAGGGAAAGATGTGATTTTATGGTTGTAACGAGGACCCCTGCGATGCCAGCTTGTTCCTGGCCCTCAGCTCTCCATCCCCTGCTCTCTCTGAACAGGGGAGCAACTTCCAAATTCTGCATATATGTGCTTCATTTGGAAGTGAGAAGCATGGATTTGAGAAGTTAAACACCTCATCAGGCTGCTTTATTTTTCCTTTTCTTCATAGCTTGTCTCTTTTCATTAGGTGCCATTTCTTCTGAGCTATCCTCATGCTGCACATTGCTGCCTATACAAAACCCTTAAGGCAAAACATTCTCTTTGTCTGTCATTCAGTAAGCTAGTTTTGCCTATTTTTTTTTCCTTTTTACTCTTGCTGAAGGAAAGCATCACTAACTTTACTGCAACTTTGGGTCCCTTCTGTGCCTTTAAG